AAAAAAAAAAAAAAAAAAAAAAAAGTTATATTCTAACAGGAAATCATACGATAATATATTCCGGCAAAAATTTCAACGGATATTCCAATGGTATAGTTTCCGTTGGAGTAATTCTAACAAAAATTCCAACGAAAATATTCTATTGGAATAGATTTATCATTTGGAATTTTAGATGGAATTTGATGATTCCAACCGCTATTTTTCCAACGATTTTTTATCGTAAGAATTTCTATTGGAATATGCAATTTTCGTTGGAATTTTTATTCCACCTCCGTTGGAAAATCTACCGTTGAAATCTTCAAAATTCAACAGAAATTCCAATGGAAAACTCATTCCAACAGAATAATTTTGTTGGAATTTTCGTTGGAATTCCACTTAAATATATTTGTATTGAAACTTTCGATTAGAATTAGATCATTTTGTTGTAGTGATCAAACTGGTCAATCTGTTATAGTTTTTCTAATGCTCAATAGTAGGATGAAATTCACAATTTTGTTTATGTTATAATGCATGATATTAAATTATAAAAGTATGCATATTTACTGAAAAAATATCACTACATAAATCATTTGGTATACTTGGTAACAAGCTAACGTTCAACTGGTTTTGGGATGGACCCTCACTTAGGTTTCATCTGGGTTTTCTCTGTCTTGTTGCGCTTTATCTGCGTAGGACCGCACTTGTTTTTCCCTACGTTTCTTACATGGTATCAGAGTCGGTTCTATTGAGACCGCACGATGACGTACCCGTTTCTAGTAGGGCTTGGGCATCCGGCTCTGTATATGGACTCGAGCTTCTTATGAAAGACTTATTCACATTGTCACACATCCTTTATACAGGGAAAATATGCATAATTTATAAGTCTATCAGACTGCTCCTCTTTCTAGTTCATTTGCGTGAGACCGCACTCATTTTTTCCCCGTTTATTACATGCACCAACATAAAATCATCTATATAAGACCGTGAAAAACAAGATGATTGTTGTTATGTAGCCAAGCATTCATTAAATGTAATACGAATACTTTTTGTCATATGACCACACACATCCAATTATCTCCATACACCCAACATAAAGAAAACCTTTGACATCATAGATAGGGTCTTAAATTTGGGGATTTGATGACCTAAAATTTTCAGAAATATGGGTTGGTTTAACTACTGCTTTTATTAAAATCTATCAAGAAAATGGGTGTTGACCTTTTGACTTGTGGTCCATTTTCTTGTACGAAAATAGTATTAAAGGTCCTAACTGTTGAAGACTTCTTTTTTTTTTCAAAGGTGGCAATAAAAGCCGGCAGAGATGGTTAAGTGATTTAATTGATTTTTTGGTTAATTTTAGTTTAGCTGCATTATTGGATAACACCAATAATTCTCAATCAACCTCATTTAGGTTTATAGGTTTGGTAAGAAAAATTTGGCAATTTTTTTTTTTTTTTTC